GGAGTGATTTAAAATAATTTAAAAAATCATAAATGTAGTGAAAATGTTAGAAACTAGCAAAGTTGCAGTTACAGATGGCATAACTGGAGCATCTTAAAATATGAATATGATTTGCTTATGTAATCACTGTGTGACTTGTTTAATGTATGAGTAAAGATAGCATCTGTCTCTGACAAATGGAATTTGTTTTTGTTATTGTTTCTGTCCAAAAGGAAAAGTAGCAAGACTGAATGCAAAAAATACATTTGTTGGTTAAGGGAAGGAGGTTAGTAGAATTTTGAAAGATTATGAAATGTACAATAACCAACTTAATGTAGTGCAGTTCAGTTTTATGTTGGGCAGGGACCAACAGTTGTTTCAGGAAGTTATTGATAAATGAATGAATGCAAGAGAGAAAGTTGGTTGTATAATGTAAACAGAGAAAGTATGCGTGATAATGTGCATATTGCAGAATGTCTTGTACAATTTAATTATTTAAATTATAGAAGTAAAAGCATGCATGCAAGAGAATAAATAGCATTCCTAGTGAATTGTTCAACAATGAGCAGGAAGGAAATAAAGGATATATGACAATCCCTTGGTTGTTTCAGGCATTTATAATTAAATGTATAAAAATACCTGTGATGCCTTTAGGAACTAATTGATTAGGGACCTGACTATAGTTGTGTTTTTCAGTGCAGATGTTATTGGCTGATTACATGATGCAATCAGAAGACTGGATCTGAAAATCAGTAAGGATTTTCCCCGCTCCTTTTTAAAATGAACATCAGACCACTGGGTGAGATCATTCGACCCCATAGGATGAGATATCGTCAGCGGGCTGATGACGCACACATCTCCATCCTTGGTGATCCCAAGCAATCCTCCTGTCTCAGTGCCTGGAGGCTGTATGGGGTCTGTATGGGAACCCAGGCAAGATGAAGTAGCTGTGTATGCAAGGGACCTCTGGATCCTGTTGGTTATCAATCTTAACTCTGGATAGGTTGCACTACCCCAGACAGATCCAGTGCACAACTTGGGGGTCCTCCTGGACTCATGACTCCTGCTCAAACATACATACATAAATGAAAAGCTTCCTATTCCTCTTTCAAAATGATTTATTGCTGTCAGACTGTAATCTAATTTCAGATGAGCTCATCTCTCTGCCTTGCAGCTATCCGAACACATTTTCAAACACATTGGAAATGCTATACAGAATTTTTTGTTTCTTCAACCAATTGCTGTAAAAGTCATTAAGAAGAATCCTGTCGAAAGCACATTTCTTGTGCAAAAGAATCACAACAAAAATTACTTGTACCAGAACTTGTTCTGGTCTGGGTAAACAATATATTCTTATAAGCTTTTAAACTAAACTAAAGCTTTGGAGGCATCTATGGCTAGACAAACTATTTATTTTTCTGTAATATATATTCAGCTGCCAACAATCAATAATTTTTTAGTTTGCTCATTTGCTATTTTACTGATAAGTACTATACTCATGATTTTTGCTACAGTTTTCCAGTTATCACATACACCCCAATATCATATTTTAAATTTCAAATGTTATTAAATCTTCAAAGAAAATTCTAAGAAATATTGATAAATTTACACATTTTTAAACTCCCTTGCTTTAAATGATTTAAATTAGTTACAATGTGTTTATTTAAGTTTCTGCTTTGTTTCCATTTTGCTTGTAGCTTTTTTTTTATCCTTGGCAGGTATATTCCAAAGATTTAAATCTGCTTTCTATACACATTTAATCAAATAAATATTTCATTCAACAGTTTATGAACCATCTTGTACATAGAGGTTGAGGTTGGGGGCTTCAGTTGCTAGACCGTTTTTTCTAGTGATTGAAATCCTTGCTATGAGACATGGTGCTTGAAGTCTTGCTTAGACATCTAGAAATGCTTTTCTGTAATGGATTCTTGGAATTTTATATACAGTACTGAAAAACAGCACACTAGTTTGAAGGCTGGTCTATTATTCTGAATACAGAAACTATTGCATGACAGAAGATACAATGATATCCAGAGCTCTCAAGTAAGTTCTATGCCAGTGGTGACGAACCTATGGCACGCGTGCCAGAGGTGCCACTTAGAGCCCTCTCTGTGGGCACGTGTGTCATGCCCAGGAGATGGCAACCGTCTCTCTTCAACCACCCTCCTGCTAACTCGCTGACGTCCCACGTGGCCAGATGCATCCCGGCACATCTGGTTTCCCTCCCTCCCGTCCCGTCCTTCTGATCTTGCATGCTCTCCTTTTCCCAGGCACAACCCACTGCATCGCCTCCTCAGCCATTGGCCGGCCATCCAGCTTAGAGATGCCTTCTTTGAACTGCTAGTGCGGGCTGTGGAGCCCCAGAGTGCTCCGGTCGAGGGGCCGGCAGGCTGTGGCTGCTGACGGACACCATTGGCCCCCATGCGCTCGCTGGCTTCTATGTGTGGGGGCCGATGGTGTCAGGCAGCAACCACCCCGGCCCTTGCCTTGCCCCATGGCAATGGTACCTCCACCCTGCCTCACCTCATCCCGTAGGATGAACCTCCTGCCTACTGCCCCACCTGCCAGAGACCCTCTGGATCTCCCCAACCCTGCCCACCTCCCACAGGCATCCCTCCCCACGAGCAACATTGAGGTGACCACGCCCACCTTGGCCACACCCACCCAATCTGCCATGACCACTATTACCACACCCACCCAGTGGGCCACGCTCACCTGGCACCTGGCAATAACTAAGTGGTTTTGGGTTGCAGTTTGGGCACTCGGTCTCTAAAAGGTTCGCCATCACTGTTCTATGCAAACTATAATATATTTCTTTCTGGCATTTTTGTTATCCCACTCATCACAATATATTTTTAAAAAAGGGGGGGACAGGTAACTGAGTGACAAAATAATAAATAAAACTCTGCAGGTGGAAGATTTTCTCTGGGCTCAGAAATTAAACATGATCAAGATCAGCTGAAGGAACTGAAGGTGGTAAGTTAGATTGATTTTTATTTTTTTTAAAAAGTAGGTAATGGGAAATTCCTTCTATATAGTACAAATGTTTCCCAATATCCTCAAGATATGTGGATTTTAACTTCCAGAATTCTGTAGCCAGGTTGCTTCTGGCAGCTGAAGTCCATATATTTTAAAACTGCCAAGATTGAGAAACACCACTATTGCTAATGAAACTGAATAGATGTGTCTAGCTCAATTCAGACATTATCTTTATCTTGGAATAAGCAGACAATACTATTTTCTGTAATAGAAGAATTAAGCAATATAGCAGAGAATATTGATAGTAGACATTTTCCAAAGTTCAGAAATTTTATATACTAATCTGAAAATTGTCTTAGAAATTGGGAGAAAATTGATATAAGATGATCCTCAAATATATAAGCGACAGATGTACCATACTTCATCTCTGTTACAATATATCATAGTAAATGAAATGCCAAATATAGAAACAGGCAGGATTTTTACTCATAATTACTGCATAACCTTTTGAAATTATAATTATAAAGAATGAACTATATGTACCTTCTCAATAAAAATTCCATGACTGATGCACAATTTAACTAAGATTAGATATAGATTAAAAATAACATAGTAAAATATACTCTTAATAGTATTTTTATTTCCTGCTGAGGTTGAAAGATCTAATGTGAGGCAGAAATTAGAAGAATGTTCTTGAAAAAAGGAAAGAAAAATGAGATTTTGTTTTGAGCAAATGAATATTTGCAGTTTTTGAGAATTCTGGAACATAAACAGTGAGGAAAAATGGTATGTTACATGCTATTAATAATGGTCACTCAAAGCAATATAGTATATGGAAATAAGAGAAATGTGAGGATCATGATAAATTATTATCTTACAAATCAATTATAAACATTTGTTTGAGCAGTTTAACATAGTAATTATACAACATGTACATGAACTCAGATAGGATATTTTTAGTTCTTGTAGGCTTATAGCATATATTTCTACTTATCAAAGCTTCTTATTGATACAATATTAATTCACTGAAAAATTAGAAGTTTAGAATTATACTATAATAGCTACTTAGCTATTGAAACTGTTGATTGTTCTAGTGAATGAAATATTTAAGAATTATGGAAACTGGAAAACTATATAACTAATTATTACTGCTGTGTTCCCAAGCTCAGTAATAATAAAATGCAACGGACATCTAACAATACAGTTAACATACATTCGTAGTTTGCTCCCTATGTCAATCATAGTTATTGGGAGAGATGTGACACAGTAAGAAAAGAGACCGGTTCACTGTGAGACCTGCTACTCACTCTCTTACAGTGTAACGGCCCCCCTTCCAGCTGAACATCACTGCAGGGACATACACTGAGAGACTAACTTAATTCAGAAACAGATGTAGAAAGACAAGAGTAGTTATCCTCAAGGCATTTGCCACATTTCTAGTTTTCTTGGTACATGATTGAAATCTATGGGTGTTTTTTTAAATTAATGAGGTTTACAGAACCAAATGCTTCTTAGTGAAATATTAACAAGTCGTCTTCAACGCTTACAGTTTGTAGTGACATAAAAAGATGTAAATATCATTTTGATGTCATTTTGATATTGACTTAGATACTTATAAATAAAGCAGCTTTGATTTAATACTAGTATAAATTGAAGAAATTATAAATGGAAAAAAATATTTTTGAAGTCAAAAGATAAATAAGAAGCATTACTCCATGCATGGAAGGAGAAGAATACACTCAGAGCTATCATAATTAGATGAAGGATTTTTTTTACAGTAGCTCACTTGTCTAAGATTTTTTACTACCATTTCCATTCTTCCTAACCATGCACACACAATTTAAATATATATATATATAAAGATTCTGTTGTGGTATTTTAGGATCAAACTTATGTCAGAGATTTGGTCAGCTAAGAAATGTAAGTGGAGTTGGCAGTAATTATGGAGTAATATTTTTATGCAGTATAAAGTAGGATTGCATGGGCGCATGTAAAATTCATCCAGATCCCTAACTGAAGAATCAAATTGTGTAGGCATATACCTGCTTGCTGTGTAGTCTGTGATGTCTGGGGACTTGGTTGTGCACCACACTGAATTGAGGCCATAGGTCGGTACTGCTGGGTTGCTGAGGTAGGGTATTGACCAGAAGGATAATAATATACAGGCATCTGTGAAATAAGGACCACACTTTTATAAGCTGTACAAAAAAACCCACTCACTAAGTATTCAAAATTATTTGTGAAATTGAGATCTTTTGCTTAGTAAATCTAATAAGGCAGTGGTACAGATAGAAGCAATAATAAATGGTAAGCAACAAATGCAAAAAAACCTTGAATTTTTTATGAAGTATAGAAAACATTCTATTAAGTAAAATACCATCAGTTTGCAGACAGATAAAATCCTCAAACAGACAAAAATGTAGCTGTACAGAACTGAAAAAGGAACTGCATAAAATATACAATTTGCTTTCTTAAGGCTTTTTCTATGGACTTTGGAACAATATCTTATTAAACCAACATTAGGATGCATAAATATCACAGGTAAAATTACAAGGGTAAAATGTTGTTGGGATGATCATCAATGGGAGAACTCAAATAACAAATGGTAAGAAGGAGAAATGCATTTCTGAAATAATGCTTAAAAAAAGAACAAAAACATTGTTTGGAAAGAATGATTTCAGAACAAACAAAAGTCCTATAAGACTGCTAAGCAATGGAAGGAGAGAGGGGAATCACAATAAAAGTTTTGGATAAAATGTTATTCAGTTTTTAAGCAATTTTTATTACTTCCCCATAGGAGTTTTCTTTGCCAATTGTAATTTATGCTCTAGTTATTTTTCAAATTCTTATGACACTTACCTAATGTGACTCTATGTAATATCAACCTCATACTCAGTATATGTTATAAGTTATAATTAAAGTTAGAAAGATGCCTGAAACTCAAATTAACCTGTATTTACAATGTAAAGGCACAAAGTCAGTGTTGTGTATTGAGTTCATTGAGGCATAGACCAGACCGATATAATACAACTATTCTTTATTGCTGAAAACACAGAAGTGGCTCCGACAGCCACTTGACATCTATTTATACAGTGCCGCCACTAGGCGGCGACCAATTATTTTAAAAAACAATTTCCCGCTTGAATTGCAGGCAGTGTGCTCAGCGACAGTTGGAGACTCTTTTCAAATATACACAACAACGGATCATAACAACTATTAATGACTAATACAATACATTACACCTCTTCTCCCTGGATAAGTCAACACATTGCAACTTATGAACATAATCACTCAAATATGCAGGTGGGTTTTGTATCTGTTCAGAGCGCTGCACTGTTGTTTGAGGTCCCTGATCTACCAGCCTCCTCATTGGGCTGGGTAGACCAGGGTCCCTTGGCCTGATCACTTCGGGAAGACCGGTACCTCATTGATCGTTCTGGCTGGGTAGACCGATGCTGCCCTATCTATTATTGCCAGGTAGACCAGTGCCACTGTCTTCGTTTGCGATATTACCTGATGGACTCAGGCGACCTGTTCTGCAGGCATAGTCTCAAAAGTTTGGGGTGGCTCAGGCGTGGCTCAGTCACTAGGCAACTCACTAATCTCTTCTCTGTCAGCGGCCAGGCTCTGGCTAGCCTGACGCCACCGCAATTGGTCTATGTGGCATCAAATCACATGACCATCGTCCAGTGCCACTTTATAAGACAGTGGCCCTGACACCTTTGAAACCACAGTTGCCACCCAAAGTGCTCCTAGCCCGTAGTTTCTCACCCATACTTTCTCACCAAGCTGCAAACTTCTTGGGGGCTTGGGTTGTGATGTTTCTGCAGCAGCCCTGTCAGGGTGGAGATGGTCCAGCTTGGTGGTCAGCCAATATCCCCATCTCAGTTCCGCTGGACTGCAGCCCATAGTGGTGCAAGTAGTAGAATGTTGGCAGAGTAGAAAATCTGCTAAGCGAAGATGCCAGTCACCTGTCGTTAATTTCTTCAGTGCTTCTTTGGTCGTTCTGACCATTTGTTCTGCTTGACCATTTGAAGCAAGATGAAGGGGGGCTGAGGTAGTGTGTCAGGTCAGGTTGGTCCTCAGGAAGGACTGGAACTCAGCTGCTGTGAATTGTGCCCCATTATCGGACACAATCACATCTAGCAGGCTAAAGATTCTGTGCAGTTCCTGGATGGTCCTGGCAGTAGTCATAGATGGGACAGGTGCTACCTTTAGCCATTTAGAATAGCTGTCCACAACAATGAAGAACACCTGTCCTTGGAAGGGTCCTGCAAAGTCTATGTGCATGCGAGACCAAAGAGTTTGCGTGGTCTCCCAGTGATGAACTGGTGCTTGAGGCATTTCAGGTCGGATCTCCTGACAGACCTGGCAGCTCCTTAATTGAGCCTCTATGTCCTTATCCAGGCCAGGCCACCACAAGTAACTCCTAGCAAGTGCCTTCATCCTAACTATGCCTGGATGACCCTCATGCAGAGATTCTAAAACTCTGGTTCTTAATGTGGGTGGGACTATCACCCTGCTTCTCCATAGCACACAGCCTTTATGAGCTGACAGCTCATCTTTTTTGCTAGTGAAACTATGAAATTCTGGGCCTGGTCTGCTATCAGACCTCAACACCCAGTTCAGAACACGACTGTTCTGTCAGTGGCAGTTTCATCAGCCACATCTCCAGCATGAAGGGTAGTCTCAGGGAGATCCTGGATTGCCAGGATGCAAGCTGCAGGTGCTGGGTTGGGGTCTGTGTGAGGCAAAGGCAGTCGTCTGAGTGCATCAGCATGGCCCATTTCCTTGCCTGGCTTATGGACTAGCCTGTAAGAATAAGCAGCCATGAATACTGACCATCACAGCATCCTAGGAGAAAGGATCTTTGGGGACTGGTTGTCTGCTGTGAAGAGTCCTAAGAGAGGCTTATGATCCATGAAAACGGTGAAAGAGCACCCATATAGGAAGTCGTGGAATTTTTTAATTCCAGCTACAATGGCTAGAGCCTCCTTGTCTATCTGCACGTAGTTCCTCTCTGCAGGGGATAACGTTCTGGAGTAAGCGATGGGTGCTTGGTGCCCATCTGCCATTAGATGGCTTAAAACTGCTCCTATGCCATACGGTGAAGCATCACATGCTAAACTGACAGGCAATTTCTCATTGAAGTGAGCTAGTACAGAGCTTGATGACAGCAGTGATTTGACTGCTTTAAAAGCTTTTTCGTGGGTGTTTGTCCACTCCCACGATGCCTTTTTATCCAGAAGCTGATGAAGCGGCTCTGCCAATGCTGCCTTGTGTGGTAGGAATGAATGGTAGAAATTAAATAGCCCTAAAAATGCCTTCAGCTCCCCTTTTGACTTAGGTCTGGGAGCCTGTTGTATAGCTTTAAGCTCAGAGTCAGAGGAGTAGATTCCAGCAGCATCTATCCTGAATACCAGGAACTTAGTCAGAGTTCACACCAATTTGGCACTTGTCTCTTTTTAACTTCAACCCCGCTTCGCGGAACTGTTGAAAAACTGCTCTGAGACGTTCTGTAAAACTGCTGCGGATTCCCCAGCAATCAGAACGTCATCAAAATAAGGGCACAGACCTGGAATATTCTTAAGTGTGCGTTCCATTACACTCTGGAACAACCCTGGGGCAACACTTACCCCAAACTGCAGGCGACGAACCCTGAATGCAGCTCTGTGTGTGACTATTGTCTGAGCCTCTGCAGTGGCATCATCCACAGGCAGTTGCTGATATGCCTGTGCAAGGTCCAGTTTAGCAAATACACGACCTCCCTGCAGTGATGCCAGGATGTGGCTTACCACTGGAACTGGGTAAGCATGTTGCTGCAAAGCTTTGTTAATTGTGCATTTGTAATCAGCACAAATATGAATGTCCTCATTGGGCTTTACTGGGGTTACTATGGGGGTTTCCCACATGCTGCTATCTACAGGTTGAAGCACTCCCTGCTGTACTAACTTGTCTAGCTCTGCATCTATTTTAGGCTTTAGTGCGAAAAGCAGTCTGCGAGGCTTGATCCTGATAGGAATTACTGTTGGATCGAGGTTAAGGGAGATTGGTGCTCCCTTGTATTGACCTAAATTAGGGCTGAACACATCAGTAAATTCCTGGCACACAGCCGCTAGGTCAGCTGTTTGTGTATGGTTGATGCCGGTTACTCCGATGCCTAGGGCATCAAACCAGTCCAGCCCAATCAAACTGGTGCGCTGGCCTTCAACGACCACGACCTTGAGGGGACTCTCGAACTCTTTGAAGCTGACTCCTACTGTGGCTTCGCCTTTCACCACTACACGACAATTTTGAAAGTCTGTCAGAACAAGGCTTGACGGTTTGAGTTGCCTTGTCTGCAGATGTAGCTAAACGTTTTGTGAGAGATTATGAACAGGGCTGACCCGGTGTCTAGTTCCATAGAGCAAGGGACCCCTTGCAGCCTGACTTTAAGTCTCAGCTTCTCTTTGGAAGGGCATTGGGCTCCTGTACTTAATATGTTTCTCCTTCCGGAGCAGTAACCAATCCTTTTCTGTCCCGAGGCCCATTTACCTCTCCGTGGGATGTCTTCGGGAAGAATTTCTCTCTGGCGACCTTTACAGACACTGGTGGTGTGCCCTTGCTTGCCATAAGCATGATACACTGCAGTGCGGAATTTGCATTCAGACCTCTTGTGCTGTTCGCCGCAACTGACAAAGTTGCTCGGATTCGAGAAGGCCTTGACTCTGACTGGGTGGTCCCGGGGGAGGAGACGGGAGCAGGTCTTGAGACTGTTATATGGGAGGAGTTTGACTCTGTGGCTCCCGAGGACGTGGACAGGATCCTGGGGAGGCTGAATGCAACCACATGCTTACTGGATCCGTGCCCCTCCTGGCTGGTACTGGCTGCCCGGGAGGGTACACGAGCCTGGCTCCAGGGAATTATAAACGCTTCTTTACGGGAGGGTGTCTTCCCCGTAGCCTTGAAGGAGGCGGTGGTGAGGCCCCTCCTTAAGAAGCCTTCCCTGGACCCAGATGTATTAGCTAACTATCGCCCGGTCTCCAACCTTCGCTTTGTGGCGAAGGTTGTTGAGAGTGTGGTTGCGCAGCAATTCCCCCGGCGCCTGGAGGAAACAGTCTATCTAGACCCGCTCCAGTCGGGCTTCAGGACGGGATACAGCACGGAAACGGCATTGGTCACACTGGTGA